CCTTTATGAATCCCTGTTTTATTATTTCCTCTTTGCCTCAACTAATTTGGCTATTTTTATCCTATTGCACTGTATGCATTCTTGTCAGCAATTTAAAATAACTTTTTGGAACAAAGAAAGGCATTGCTTAATTTGCATATTTCAATACACTTTTTTTATAGCATGGTTGTTAGATCTATTGTCATCTCAGTCTCTCTTCTCTGAATAAATTTCATTTATTTTCAATACCCTTAATAAAATGAAATACCCAGAACGGAACATAATCACCTAGAGATAAGGTGAAAATGTCACAATGAGCAACTAGAAGAGCCAAAACTAAGAAATAGGTCTTATACTCCTGCTCTAATTATCTTTTGACCTGCATAGCAAACTACTAATAGAAATAATTGTAAATATTTACTGAGTGAGAACCTTCTTCAAATATAGAGCTTAATACTTTACAAGGTTCATTGTATTTGCTTGTCACAAATAAACATATGAGGTAGGTATTGTTAGCCCATTTGAAAGGCAAAAAAAAAAACCTGAGACTTGGAGAAATGAACTTTTCCAAAGTCACACAGCTAACTAGAAGTAAAAACCACATAAAACCTCAAGTAGTTTGATCCTCACCATTCACTCTCCTTATATCTATGTTCTGTTTGCCTTCTATTGGTACACTTAAGTGGTATTTTCTTCTTTTAACAACCACCCAAATGTTCATGTTGAGTTTATAATGACTTAAAATTCCTTGGCACCCTCCAAACGCAGTCAATCTATTAGCTTTTTCTTCTCTTCGTACAGTACCAGAGACATAATAGGTACCTAATAAATATTTGATTCACTGATGTTCTGTTCAATCAGTATGTTGGATAAGCCATGTTCTTATATCTCCATTCCAATAATTAATTAAAACATTGATTAGAATAAGACTGGAAACTTCTTTCCATCATTCTTCTAACATAAATGTTTAATTAATTATGCCTATTTTAAGTCCACATAATATACAATCACCAGCATACATTGTTCATTTTTTCTACAAAGATAATGTGAAAGGCTGTCAAAAATAATAATAAAGCTAGGTTTTTTCTCTATAATATTCCATTGATCTGTCTATCTAGGAAGCATAGACAAATTAAAAATGAAATTAATTTGACATGACTTATTTTAGTGAACCCATGTTGGTTTCTACTGATCATTGCTAGCTCTTCTGAGAATACACAGGCCATCTTGATAATTTTTAATTCTATATATTTATGTCCAATATGTCCAGAAATCATGTTTCTACCTTTTTGCTTTTCCTAATGTTTGTGGGTAATACCTCTTGTTAATACAGTTGGTCCCTCTTTGATTTCTTGTTCATTCCTCTGTGTGTGTGTCTGAAAACTCTTTCACTACTAATTGAATTCACTTTTACTTTTTACTTTCTGTTTTCATAGACTACAAAGAGTTCTCCACACAGGTCTCCAAAGTAGACCAATACATGTAGAGTGATTTGGGGCTGCCAGTGAGGCACTGATGCTCCCTAATTTCCCTTGACATTTTTACATACCAAGGTTGGTAGTTCTTATTCTACCATAGAGACATCCTCTTTTTAGCTTTTCAGTGTATGGTTTGCATAGAGTAGAATCTTTTAAACCTTGGGAACAAGAAATAGAAGATAAGCTTTGGAGAGTTAATCCCTAAAATGAACATATAATCATGTGTGTACATATAATTATCTTCAAAACAATTTATCCCAGGTCAATGAAATTTTACAGTAACATGATTAAATGTATTAGCATATTTTGAGTAAGAATATATTACAGCACTAGAGATGAGGATGGTGTGGGGTTTGTCTACGAAGGAAGGAAAGAAAAAGTAAGTTCATAAAGGGATAGGCAGTTTAACATCTTGAATCTCTGTCAAAAGGAAAGAGATTCTTTTTTATTTTTTTAAATTTTTTATTTTTTTAAATAATTGACAAAAATATATATATTTTCCATGTACAACATGTTTTAAAGTATGTATACATTGTGGAGTGGCTAAATCAAGCTAATTAATATATGTGTTATTTCACATACTTATCTTTTTGTGTGTAAGAACAATTAAAATTTACTTTGTTAGTAATATCAAGTATACAATACAATGTTATTAGCTATACTTACCACATTGCACACTAGATCTCATGAATTCACTTTCCCTATTTAACCAAAATTTTTTAACCCTTGACCAAGATTACCCCAATGCCTCCATACCCTTATGTCCAACCCCTGGTAACCACCATTGTACTCTCTGTTTGTAGGTTCAAGTTTTGTAGATTTCACATGTAAGTGAGATCATGTGGTATACATCTTTCTGTATATGACTTATTTCACTTAGCAACATGAACATTTGGGTGGTTGTTAAAAGAAGAAAATACCACTTAAGTGTACCAATAGAAGGCAAACAGAACATAGATATAAGGAGAGTGAATGGTGAGGATCAAACTACTTGAGGTTTTATGTGGTTTTTACTTCTAGTTAGCTGTGTGACTTTGGAAAAGTTCATTTCTCCAAGCCTCAGTTTTTTTTCCAAGTTCATCCATGTTGTCAGAAATGACAGGATTTTCTTCTTTTTAAAGATTTAATAGTATTCTATTGTGTATCTATTCTAAATAGTATTCTATTTAATAGTATTCTATACCACATTTTCCTTTTCCATATATCTGATAAAGGGTTAATATCTAAAATATATAAGGAACCCAAACAACTCAATAGCAAGAGAATAAATAGCCCAATTAAAAAGTGACAAAGAGCCTAAATAGGTATTTTTCAAAAGAAAATATACAAATGGCCAATAAGTATATGAAAAAAAATGTTCAACATCACTAAATACCAGTGAAATGCATATTAAAACATAATGAGATATCACCTCACACTGGTTAGAATGCCTATTTTCTTTTATCATACTTTAATTACTATTTGTTTCCCCTACCTGACTGTAAGCTCCTTTATTTCTCCTCACCGTAACATTTCTCAGTGATTATCAGCATAGCTTAGCATTCAAAGGCATTCATTAAAAGTATGTTAAATTAATAAATTAATAAAATATTTTGCTTTTTGTTTTCTAAATCATCATCTTATATTATCTGAGCTTATATATCTTATCTTGTTTCTTCTTTTAGTTTTCATTGATAATTTTTTTTTGCTATTCTGCTTTTAGCTGTCTTTATTAGACATTAGCATACTTATTAAAAATGTAATTGTGAATACTTTTTAAAGGGTGTCTGGAAATTCTATCAAAAAAATAATCTTTGAAAGCTTTTAGCTCTTATTAAACTCAAGGAATTATTTAATACCAGAAAAAGGTGATGCAAGAGCCTCTAGGACTTATGCTCAGCAAGATATTGCAAAATGATTTAAGCTATTGACTCTAACGGTCCTGTATTTTTATCCTTCTTTTCAGGAACCTCAAAGAATAGAGGTCAATTTAGACCCATTTTATTTAAAAAAAAACAGAATTTAATGTTCTTGACAGGTATCAGATTATAAGTCCTTAGAGACAAAGGTTTTCTTTTTGCCAACAGAGCATTTATAACACAGACAGCTGTAGGTGGTTTTCCTTCATCTTATCCTGTTTCTTAACTTATCCACAGACCACAACCCTGACCCACAGAGAGCAACCCAGTTGCAAGAGAGTAATTCAGCCTTCTGGCTAGTAAATCAGTGCCTCCTCAGCCCACTCTCTCTACAGGGGTAGCAGCAAACAGATCATTGGCTCTTAAATTGGATGAGATAGTGGTAGGATGGAATCTAATGCTTAAAGCAATGTAGTTCCAAAAGCATTGTAGGGATAATTTTATATTCCTTTTTCCAAGTATTGGAGAGGTTGGATTCCAGCATGTTGTCACCACATTACACTGATGTTTCTTGTGTGAGGTCTGTGTGATGTTACACTTTGTTCCCTGTAAAGTGGACGAAAATGTGCAACACATTACACAAAAGTTACTGAGCAGGCATGCAATAACAACTCAGTCCTTTTTTATTGTTCTCTTAATGTCATTTTTGGTGCTTTCAAAATCATATGAAATTTGTTTTAATGGTCTCAAAATTCAGTGTCAGAATTGCCCTTTTTCCTACTTGAAATGTTCTGATTTTTAAAATGAATAACTTAAAGCTGCTATGACATAAAACATAGTGGTTGACAAAATGTTCCTCTCCTCCTGAAAAGCATTTTCCATACATTGGTATCATTAGCCAGTCTTCAGAAATTCTGGAGAAGCTCCAATAGCCTTCTTGTCAAATATCTCAAGAAACTCTAATGATATAGCTAGTGTCATATCATATATCACAAATGACCTTCAAAGACCTAGGAAGACTGGTGGGAGATGATTCCCATACACAGGAGATTGCCTGGCCCATGATGGTGATAACATCACCAGCATTTAAAGATTTGGGGAACATCTTTTTATCAGATCAATCTTTTGCTTTAGTCCCACAATGTGGAGAATGTGACAATCCAGTACGGGTGCATGGTCAGCAGGAGTCTGATCTGGATGGGCAGGATGGTGACTGGTAAAGCTAGCACCTCCCATGGTGGGTTGTTATTCCCACCACCAGCCATATCACTGGAGCAGCCACTTTGCCCAGCAGTTCATCTCAATGGACCACCACCATAGTATCAGGTAGAGCTTCATTATGAGCATTAAAATCTACTTTGGCAGATTTTTCTTTATTTGGAACATTGAATGGAACAAATATCCTTCATCAAGGCTAATCCTAGAAGGCAAGTCTTTACCTAACTCTCTTTATAGTATCAATACTATGTATCAGTTTTGCAATCATCCTGGAAAAGCAGATCAGGGGCTCCTAAATTGAATGATGCAGTGGCAGGATGGAATCCAATGCTTAAAGCAATGTAGTTCCAGAAGCTTTGAAGGGAATATTTTATATTCCTTGTATCAAAAAGTTAAATTCTGGCATGTTGTTACCATTGCAATCCAAAATTGGCACAAATACGTTTGATTTTTTATTATAGATCATTTTCTTTTTTTTTTTTCACCTTATTATTTATCTTTATCAAATTAATCTGGAACATATGAGTTATACTTTGACATTATATAATAATTTATTAATAGAAACCATAGAAGTCAAAAACCTTATATCCTCCAATCTCCCAATCAACTTTTCTTAGATTTTTGAGACATAAAAATAAAAATCATTTCAAATAACAGCACCCAAACACTATATACATTTGTAATGAGGTGCAGCAATTTTAAACCTCATATTTTCCAGGTTTTAGCTAAAATAACCCTTACAGATTTCTTAGATTTCTGTTAGCCCTGTTTTGGGGCTACTTTTCCTTACTGGGCATAAAGAGAAGACAGTATTAAAATATGCTAACAATCCATACTGAGAACACAGCACAGGTGGGTTTCTAACTCCTTAGGGACGCGTGGAAACCTGACAGCTTCTGAGAACCCTGGTGGTTGCCCCTAGTCATCCTGCCTCGGGCAGCTGCATACACTCATTTTTTCTCTGAGGTCGAAGTCTGTGGCTTGATCTTCCTAGCAGCTTCCAAAACAGAGAGTGGGTTTACTTTGTCTCCAAATTCTTTTTCTCGGTGCTCGAGAAGAATGCCCTGTTTTCCTGGTCCCACCACAAAAACTCCCCCGAGGATGAAGCCTTCACCTTCCAGGTTTCCAGAGAAGCCTCCATTCCAGGCTCGGAAGAAGTTGTACCACACCCCCAGACGGATGAATCCCATAAACATCATCTTCCGCCTTTGAGGACCATAGAACCTTTTCTTTTCATCCAGGAAGATTTCTCCTTTGAAATAAGGCTGGAAGTCCTTCACTTCAGTCCTAACGTGCTCCTTCACCACTGCATAGAGAGGGACGCCCAGCTCATCCAACTTGGGTTTCAGGGAGGACAGGTCTGCAGCCTCCTCTCGACAGAGGAAACAGCCTGGCCTCCGCACAGCCATGATCACAGCTCCATTCTTTTCCCACAGCTCCTTTGCTTTGAAAGTCCTTGGTTCCTTCTCTAATGTTTTCAGGTCTATATCCTCCAGATACTCCAGTGCTGCTTTCTGTGGCTTGGACAGAAACACATCTGTGTTGGCCAGGAGCAGTGCCAGGGCAGCAGCCCCCAGGGCTCCTGCACCAATGGACCACATCCCCATGGTGAAGAAACTTGGATCCCGGAATGCGCCTTGCCGCCTGCCTTCTCGGGCGCCCGATTATGGGACGCAGAGGGGCGAAACCCTCCCCGGCCCCGAGGGTCCCAGGGGCGGGCCCTGCCTATAGATCATTTTCTTAATGTGGTTACTAATGTTTTTATTCGTTTTCTTGTAATTTCTCTGGACACATAGAGGGTGTAAGTTTTAATACATTAATATTTAAAAACCACTAACAATGTGAATAAAAGGAAGAGCATTTTCACAGAGCTCCGGATGGCTACTTTTTTAGATATTCTTTTTACACTCCCCATCAACCTCATCAAAAACCAGGATAATTCACTGAGCTGTGCTTGTAACCATGTTTTAACAAAGATGTTGGGTTTAGGAACCTCAGTGATAGCCTCATAGTATGTGCTGAGTTTAGATTTCCCCAGGAAGATGTTAATGATATGCTTAGTTTCACCAAAACCCAGCATATTCAAAGAATATGTTTGTCATCTCTGTGACATCTCTCTCAAACTCCTTATTGTTCTTCTTATTAATTCCATCACTTTTGTAGATCAAGTGGTCTGTAGTGTTGGATTTGTTAGAACCCATATGTCCAATAACTATGGTGTTGATAGATGTCTTTTCCTCTCCCATTTTGGTCTGATTTCCATGGTACTTGAACTATGGTTGAGAACATGTTGTAAAAGGCTTATCTATACTGAATGTTAGAGAATATATTCTGTAAACTGTTGTTCTATTGAAAACTGTCCATTGTTGCTTAGTGGCATGCTCATTATCAGATTTTCCATAATAACTAAAGTTTCTATCAGGAAATCAAAAATTTAAAAATAACTTCCACAACATATTTTGATTATGAATGATAGATGTTAAGATATTCTCCCTAGATGTCTTAAGTGTCATCCTTTGTATCAGCCTGGAATAATGTCAAAGCATATGGACACAGAAAGAAGTATTATTTATTGAGCACTCTCCTATACTGCAGGCATGGCATTTACTGCTGGAGATGTGGAAATAAGACATTTTCCCAAATGCATAGCCCAATAATACACATTCAATTGTTCTCTTCATTCAGTGGACAGCCCTCACTATTCTTCTTTTTCCTTACAATGGATGCTGACACAAATTGTACAAGGAAATTGATGAACAAAAACAAAAGAGACAAATGGCAAAAAAAAATATTTGAAGTACTCTTTCTTGGGCTGGCTTTTCTCCAAATGACAAGTGATAATTAGATAAATAAATGAGACCTTACTGAAACAACTAACTTTCTCTGATTAAAATATCACTCAGAATAATGACATATTGCAGATGGAACAACCTTTCCTCTTCATGCTCACTACTCTCTTGTTGAGTTATCATTCAGTATTGGGTAGAGAAGCAGCTAAATGTACAAAGTTTAGGGTCAAATGAAAATTACCCAACGCTTTATGGGTAATTAGGTTGGGTTATATCAGGCAAGGGAGTATTCATTAGTTACAATGCAAACACTATGTGGTTACTAGACATTCACATCCCGGCATGGTTCCTAGTTCAGCCCATAATTACCTATTCACCAGATGATCAGTTTTGCAGCCGGGTGAAGAAGGAATCCTCGGGAAACACTGTGCGTAACCCTGGAAACGTAGTGACTAGCAGACCAAGTGGACTAAGCAAAGCCTCATTATTTCTGGAGGGAAAAAAAGATACTCTTTGGAATTTCCCTACCCCTAGAGAGAGTCTTGTGAATCATTTGGGTAAGAAGTCTCCTACATGTCATTTGAACGAGTTTGTTTATAAGCGGCCCTTTGCTCTAAAATGTTAAGCCTAATGATTATCATCACCATTATAGATTCATTTCCTCAAATGTAGAATGCATTTCAACTCAAGACCCACAATATAAAATCCAAATTCTGCCAGAGGTCATATATTAAACTGGTGTCAGCTAATCATTTAGGTAAACATTTAAGTACACACATTCCAGTTTTCACAGAACAGTCCTGGTTTACGCTTCTGTCATGGCATGATAATTAATAGCACCCCTATTCACTCTCAATCTGAGTTAGATGGTAATAAATGATAAGATCTCTCATTCTAAGTCTAGTCAGGATTAGTCCTTTCAAACAACAGAAATAGCTCTGGCCAATTTAAGTTTTTGGCAAGAGCACCTGATTGGTTGAACTAAGACCATATATTCAAACTACAGTTGCCAGAGATCTGAGAGACCAACCAGTTGGGTCCTAGTCAGGGTGCTATCTCCAAACAAGAGTTTTTGGGCAGACTAACCAAACCAGAAAAAGGATTCAAAAGCTGACGGCTAAAAAAGAAATTAAAACAAAATTTCTATTCTTTCTGGCTAATGCCTGATGTATTGAATTATAACTTCCTGATGACAGCATGTGTCTCATAAGGACATAAATAGACATTAATAAAATGGGAGAAAGAACCCCAAATCAATAAATTTCTTCTTCTTCATAGTGTTGCCTATAAAAAACACTTCACAACTCTGATCAGGACACTAAGCTCTGTAAATGGTTAGATCCCTTAAATTTGTTGGCAGACCATTCAGATTTCATTTCCATAATATATGAGGATCATTCTAATATTGCTAGTACATTGGTTTATCAAGCACATGTGGTAGCTTTGTAAAATAGAAAGAATGCTATGGTTTAAGTTTTTAACAATTTTTAGCTTAAAAAATGTTTATGTGTGAGTGTAAGGCTATAGTTTGATTTTTAAATGCAAAGCGTTGTTTTCATAAATTAATGGCCTCTTTATTGATGAACAATTGGAAAGAAGATCAGAGACCATCAGTGATTTCTTTGAGAGGAAAACAAGTTCAGTTAATAGATGGTAGTAGTAAAAAACTTGTCCCGTGTTATACCAGAAGTGTTGGTAGAAACATAACTATTAGCTACTACTTAAACTTAATCATTTGCCTTATAATAGAATTGGTGAAAAATGGTAAAATAGACATCACATGACACTCAAGAAAGAAGCTTTGATTTTTGCTTGATAAGGAAGTATAATATATATTTCTCTCAGAATAACTTAACAAGGTCTCCTTAACAAATGTACATTCATGCAATACACCCATGAAACAAAGACAAAATAAGACTATTAATCACTAGTAATTTAATAATGATTTGGTAACGAACTATCTTCATTCTGTTCAGTAAATCTTTATTTAACCATAGACTGGGAGCTGAAATTCTTCTCACCTTAACATCTACATGGGTGGTCTGACTGTAATATATCTTGGATTAATATTACATTCTGCCATACCATTAAATATGCTTCAACTCTAATTTTAAAACCTCAAAAAAAAGATAAAGGTGCCATATGTGAACTTATGCCTGGCCCCACATAACTATTTAAAACAAAACACATCTTTCATGAAAGTGTTTTTCTCTCCCAGGCCTGTTATAACTACATTTAAACATGCTATGTCTTTTCTAAATGTTTTTCCCTTACCTCTGTATTTCTTGATTGATGATGAAAACAAACTTCAGAGACATGTTAAGAATGATTCCCATATAGATTTTGCCCTGTAAAATAAATGCCTAATCACAGCAGGAGTATTTGTAAATGATTTATTCAAATAGAAGGAAAACACAGAATCTGTCTTGCCATTAAAAGTCCTTTAGAACATAAGCAATGACTAATTGTATGCTCAAAAACAAAACAAAATAAAGTTCCCACAGTAAAACACACTCCATTCAAATTGGGAATTGATAAGTTCTATGCCAATAAAATATATTTCACAGTTTATTAAATTCTTCACATGATCAAAAAATCAAAACAATGTCAACATTAAGTAACATTTTAATCCAAATAGCACTTGCTTAAATATGTGGGGTTAGTATAATATGTTCAATTTATATATCATTGTACTACAAAAGGTATAATTTAACCCAGTATTTAAATAAAATAATCTTATGATTTTAAGTTTAGAGTATAGAGATGTATAGATAAGAGGTTAAATCTAAACAAAGGCACACCAATTATTACTTTGGGTTACAGATCACTGACCAACATGAACAAGTTACTTGAAATTAGGCTAAGGTCAAATTTTCTCTAAATAGTTAACTTATAATAAACTCTTTATATACTTAAAAGTATCTACAACTTCAGAGCACACAAACTTGGATTTAGTGATGAATATGGAAAGAAACAGGATCATTTGTGTATGTTCTGTACTCACTAAATGCCTTTACAATATTCCTTTTACTTATATGAAATGGAAGTACTTCAAATTTTCACAGAATTTTACCACCTATTTCCAGTAAAAAAGCTAAAGTATAAAATTGCATACTTTTTAGTATGATAGATCAGAGAATTTAAACAATATTTAAACTACTTATTGCATAGGTCACCAGTAAAATTCTCAAAAACCAAAGTTGGGATTTAAGAGTTCTGTGCTCCATGTTCTGCCACAGATTGCTAGAATATTCTATTCATTAGATAATATTAATTGCATTGTATAATAATCCCATGTGAGGCTAATTATTTAATGAGATATCACGAATCCAAACAGAAATTATCTAACAGTGAATCCACACAAAAACTTCCCAACAAATACCTGTTCAATTAAAATATGCCATTCCAAAGCTCAATATTGATTTCAGGGCTCTCTTCACTATGAATATTTAAATAGCTTAATAGCTGATATTATTAAAAATGCTTTATACTTTTAATTTTTCCTTTACTAATGTATATCGGCAATTCTAAATCCCGTAATTATATAAGTATGATTTTCAAGCTGGATAAATTGTAGACAGAATTCATTCCAAAAATGCCACTAATAAATAACAAAAAGAAATAATGGATACCACACCATGGACAGCTCAGAGAACTAGGTAATAATTACTTTCATGAATTGTATTGTGTGTAGAAAATATAGATGTTTGGGTAATAATATATATGTATATAAAGTAAAAATCAATTTATATTGAATTTCACAGAGAACAAATGATTTAAATTTTAAGAAAAACTGTGTGTGTGACCAAAATACCATTCTACATTTGTAGAAAGTATAATAACATGCTAGACTTAAAAAAATTTTTTTTCTCTAGTGAGTTTTGCATTATGCTATACCAAATAAATAAATAAATAAATAAAAGATAAAAT